TCTAGAAAGTGGACTTCTTTTGGCTTGTTTTTTGAAACAAGGTCTCACTATGTAGTAGAGGCTAGCCTCGAACTCAGAGTGATCCTCCTGCCTCAGCCTCCCAAATACTGAGATTACAGGTGTGTGCCAGTACCACACCTGGCTTTTTTAATTTTCGGTATCAGGAATTGAACTCAGGACCTTGCCAGGCAGGCGTTTGTGCCGCTGAACTAGATCCCCACCTCAGAGGAAGTAGGACTTTATAATTCATAAAATTCCCACTATTGGAAGGTGTTCCTAACCCTGCTGCAATGAGATGATCAGTTATAATTAATTTATTACTAATAATAAACTTCACAACTTTTCTCTTTGGAGAGGAATGAGAGCATGTTCCATAATAATATGCTCCTTACTGTTTTGCATTTCTGTTTCCTGAGTTAAGAGGTTGCTGGCAGGAAATTGCCCTACCATAAAACTCTCACTTCAAAACTTGTGGGGTGGGTTGCAAATGAATATCGTACCAAGATGGCTAACAGACAAAGTCTAAGTATATCTGCACCACACTTCCTTTTGCTACTGTGGCAGCTGGTCATCTCAGTGCATGCACGTCAAAGCCTTTGGGACAGACAAGGCTAGTCCCACAATCACTTTTTGATGAGGAATTCAAAGCTTGGAGCCCTTAGCAGGAACAGTAGAGGGCTACTCACATCCAGCCTTTCTGGTTTCTACTCCCACATTCTTTTCATTATCCTACACCTGTGCTTCCTTCTCCTCTCTGCCACATTTTATCCTTTCTTAGCTGAGCAGGGTCATGGTAAGGAGCCAGGCAGGGTTCAGTGGAGGCCTGGGATGACACACAGGGGCATCAGTACCTTTTGGAACAAGGGTCGTCGCAGCTGGATGCCCACATCCTGGTCACTCTCCATGTACAGGAGGTTGAAAGTCTCCTTGCAGCCCGGAGGTCTGGCTCCCCCAGGGAAACTCTTGCAGTCGCGCACAGTGAATTGCAGTTCTACATGGACTCGTGAGGCTTCCTCCCCTCGGTAGATCCAGTTGGAGCGAAGCCAGTGGTCTGTGTCTCCATTTTCCTGCAGTGGGCAGTCCTGGTACATGTACAGCGGCGTCTCATTCAGCATCTGTTGCACCTCGCTCCACTGTGGGGAGATCATCAGAGTTAGAGACTAGAGCTGATAAAGACCTGCCCAACCTGATCCCTCAGCCCCAGGATAGTAGGTTAAGTGTTTAGGGTTGTAGATTGACTTGGTCATAAGCTAGGCAGAAAAATAGCCCCTGAGTTAGCCTCGCTCCCTGCAGTTCATCTACTCCAACTCTAAAAATAAAAATACCCATTCATCAGCAGAAGTGTCAAAGGCAAAGCTCATTTAAAAACTTCTGTAGCTGTGCAGAGAGGAGGATCCTGGCCTTTGGAGACCAGGAACAACTACAAAACTTCACTACAGGCTACTCTCACCTTTTCCAATATTCTTTCCAGTTACGGCCATTAACAAATCAATTGAAAGAGTCAGCTGGACTCTCAGGCACTATCAGGTCCGACAGTTTGAAAGAATTTTAAAACCTAGTAAAAACAGCTGAACACTAACACAGCAGTTACCACCGGTCAGTCACTATCCTAAGCACTTTCTCTGAGGAAGAGAGGTGGAGCGACTTGCCCAGTGGCTGAGTGACCTGCTCAGGTGTGAAGAGCAGAACCATGAAGCCAGGCGTTGCAGGCTCCAGAGTTTACGCTCTTAATCATTACGCCTCTCTGTGTTAATTACACAGAGAAGAAATCAAGATGTACACAGAATAAAAAGGTTAAATTCCATCTCCTTCCCTCCATTCCCAGAGGCAGCCATTGTTAACCACTCAGAGTAAAACTTTGCAGAACCCTTTCAGCATCTTCACAGAAATGTCTAAGTGCTTCTGCGTTGAGTTTTTAACACAAAGGAGATCCAACTGGTGTTGTCCTGTAGGCTACTTTATGTTTTAACAAATCACGTCTTTCTCTACAATATTTTCCACATTGATTTGCAGTGTCAGTGTCAAATATCACATACGTGGGGATGTTTTTGGACTTTCTGTTCTGTTCCATGGGCCTGAGGATTCTTGTCAACACCACGTATTTTAACTATTATTGATGTTCTGATATCTGCTGCTAGGATGTGTCTACCATTTCTTCTTAAAAAAAAAAAAAAAACAAAACTTTCTCATTCCTTAAGGTGCATTTATTCCAGATGAATTTAAGAAAACAGCTGTCAAATTTTACAAAATATCCCTTTAATATTTTGGAGGCCATCTCATAACCTGATAAAACCTACCACCTTAATACAGACAGTCCACTTTCCCAGGGAAGTGGGACTTTATAATTCATAAAATTCCCACTATTGGAAGGTGTACTCTACTACAGTTCTCAAATTCTCCCGCCTACTCTAAGCTTGATGGAAAGGCAAGAAAAAGCATCATTAATGAAAAATTTTGGTAGTGTGATGGGGCAGAAATATAAGCTGCTGTGAGGCACACACTTCTGCATTATGCTTGCAAGTTCAAAGATGGGGCAAGGGGCAGCGAAGTTGTCAAGAAAAGCACCTGGAGCCTGCACCTGCCAGGAAACCATTCTGGGTGGAAGAAGGCACAGGCAGGGCAGGTTGACGGGGTGGTGGGTGGTCAATCTGCACCTCCATAGCCAAATTGCCAAGGCTGCAGCTGGAGCTAGAGAAGCAGATGTTCTCAGCTGTAACGGCTTCTCCCAGTGCCAGCAGCAACAGATGGGGGAGAACCAGGAGCAGCATTAAGACTTTTCACTCACCACTCAGGCCCTGCTAACTGCTACATGGGGGGCGGGGCTGGACTCTGAGTGCATACATATGTGTGTGTGCGTGCGTGTGTTTGTGTGTGTGTGTGTGCGCGCGCGCGCGTGTGTGCATGCTTTGAGAAGTAGGGGCAAGCAAGGTAAGGGGTGCTGGCTTTTTCTTCTTGCCTGAAGACTGCAAGCCTGTTTTCCCAGCAAGATTGAGAAAAGGTCCTTCCTGTCTCCCTGACCCAGTTAATAAAGAGCTATGTCAGTGGGGGTGGCAGGGGCCCGTGGGAGGCAGCAGATGGAACTGCAGCCGTTGTTGTGGGGTGATGAGGTGCTTTATGAGACGAGGCGCCTATTAGGGCTGGCCTAATCTAAGCTTTCCTAAACGGCCCCTTCTGGAGGATATATTATGGTTTAGTCTATTAACTTTAATTACAGGCCATTCTGTGGGACATCAGAGAATGAAGCCAGGACCCTCAGACCCAGAGGGGAGGAAACCAAGTAACTCTGACCCAAGAAAGGGTGGGTGGAAGTCTGAGGGACGGTGAAGAAGGAAACATCCAAGGAACATGGTCCAGGGGAGCAGTGAGTCTGTCCATTGAGGCAGCTCTGGTGGCTCTGTGGCCAGCTCTGTTGAGTGGTAGCAAGGGTGTTCTCTGGACTTCGTGTCCAAATACACTCTCTGGACCCACCTACCACTGACCTCTGCTCACTTGGTCTGAGGGACACCCAGAGAAGGAACGGACTTAGAGCAGACTCTTGGTTCTCCAACAGCTGTTATAGCTGGTGCTCAAGGTGCCTACCTGGAAGGAATGGACACCCAGCCAAAGGCTCTGACACCCTGAGGCGAGCAGCTTTTAACATGTGAAGAATGTGATGGAAGCTTTGTCTTTCCTCTCAAGTACAAAATGTCCACTTATGGTTTTGAACACACTTTTATGGAGTTCCTGACCCCCTGAAACCAACTCATGCAACTCCACTGGGATGAACATAGCTAGGCCCCAGGATATTTCTACTCTTTCAGTCCCTTCCCAAGCCAGGCCCTGCTTGGGGTCTCTCCCTGCAGGAGCCTTCACCCCAAGCCTCACCCAAGGAGTATTTACCAGGAGGTGGGGGGAGGAGTGAAGCCTGACCCCCCCAAATCCCATTCGGGAGGGAGGCGTTGACTCAGCCTCCCCTCCCCCTCCAGGAGGAGACACTTCCAGTTTTTCCTGCTCTTTTCTGTTCCTCCACCCACTTTTCCCGCCCCAATTCCCACTGGCCTTCACCCTTGAGCCTCCCCAAATCCTTCTTCCCAACACTTACCCCGTCCTCTGGGGGGTCCAGCAGCCAGCCCAGTTCTCCTTGTGCCTTGCTCGTGTCTACCAGAGTGACTGAGGGAAGGGGAAAGGAGCCTGTCACCCTTGAGGGAGCCGTGCAACCCACATTCCTCTCGCTGGGGCCCTGGCGTCCACATTGCTTCCTAACATCTTTGACATCCAGAGGCTTGAGGGAGCAGGAGGACAGCGAGGAGGAGTGCAGAGCTAAGGGATTACAGGGTGTTAAGAGTGTAAGAGAGCTGGGCAGAGTGAGGCAAGCATTGGAGCACTGGAGCTTTGAACAAAGTCAAGACCAAAGGCATGATTCCAGTAGCTCCAGGAAGGATTTATCCACTGGGGTCCGAGGGAGGTTGGAAGGTGTAGGCCGGACCCCATCTGTTGCACAGCTGCAGTGGGGGTTGGCAGGGGGACTTGGGTTCTGCAGCTGCTCAGCAGGACCCTGGAAAGTCCCAGAGGCTGACTTCTACTTTCCATGGCAAGTGGCTGGGGGTATCATGTGGAAGTGCAAGGCGCAGCTCTGATTTGGGGATGTGGGGGACCCAGGGTTTGGGAAGCAGGGGACACCGTGAGAGCTTTTAGGTGCAAGGTTTGACCCCGCTCTATACGGGAAGCCCTGGGTCTTGAGTACTAACCCTTTTCCTCGGGGTCAGGTCATCCTGTCGCCCAGCCTAGATTGGCCAAAGGTGGCTTCCACCTCGTATCAGAGGGGCTCTGGTCTCGCTGCCTGGGAATGAAGGGACCCCCAGTGGCCCAGGCTGGGTGGGGTGCATGCAGCTTCCTGGCAATGGTCAGGCACTCCTACCCCCATGCAAAAATTGCTGGCCAGCAGGGATAGGGTGTCTGACCCGCGAGAGCAGCAATTAAGGGTTAAAGAGCAAAGAGCAGCCTAGCTAGTCGGGGAACAGAAGGAAGGCTGGGCGCAGGGCCTGCAGAGGTACGCGGCTCCCCAGGGGAAGGGCACGGACGGGCAGGATGGGGTCTGTACCTTCCTCGGCGCGTGCCCCCGGGCGCAGCGGGGCACAGAGAAGTAGCAGCGGCAGCAGCCCAAGCGCCCGGGCCCAGCGCCGCTCCATGGCGCCGGCCGGGACCTGGGACCTGGGCCCCGACGGCTGGGCCAGGTCGCGAGGCGCAGGGCAACCGGGCCGGCTGGGCGGGGGCGGGGCCAGAGCCTGGGGGCGGGGCCAGAGCCTCGGGGCGGGACCTTGGCCTCACCTGGTTCACCTTCTTAAAGGGACAGGAGAGCAGGAAGGAAACTTGTCCGACAGGTACCAAACTTGAAAACCTGGAGGCAACTTGACCGGAATGAGACTGCAGGCGCCGCCTAGTGGGTGGGACCTGACATTGACTCACCTTTCTCAATTTTGATCTTAACTCCAATCCAGTCTTGATCCACCCTGGTCTTACCTCTGATGTGACTACGCCCCTGTATTCCTCCTGCAGCGTTTGTGCAGACCCTACTTCTGTGACAGACATCAAGAAAGGCAGCAATGAGAGAGGGCTCTGTCCCCTGGTGCGGGAGGCTTAGCCAACCACAGTGCAAGCAGGTGCAACCCTTAGCAAAACAGTTGGGGACAGTGGGAAAGTGGGAGGAGGACAAGACCAGCTCTGCAGAGAGGTGTGCCAGGGAATCTTGGGGAAAAGCTGCCTGAGCCCAATTGTCAGGCAGAGGTTGGGAGAGGCGTGAAGGAGCTAGATAGGGAGCCTGGAGGAGCACTTGGAAAATGGGGAGTGGTGAAGAGACCAGTTTGACTGCTGGGGCCCAGATTTGTCTTGGGAGCCAGGGCAGAAGGACAGGTGCGGGCCAGTGCAGGAAAGGAAAGGTCTTGGTAAACAGGCGAAGGCGTTTGAACCTCGTCAAGCAGCAGATGTGGTGATCTGGGGACGGTTCTAGGCACAGGTGGTGGAGAAAGAGAGCGCTGGCTGCTACCTGAGCCCTTTCTGGTGATGTAGGGCCCAGGCCCTCCTGTTTTGTTGGACACTGCCTTATTTATGTCCTACATAAATCTCTGCTATACATGCCTTAAATTCTGAAAGCACCATTCCACTCCGTATGGTAAAATAGGCCCTGGACAACATTCTTAGTCTCAAGAATGTTGGACTCAGGGCCTCAAGCTTGCACGCAGATGGCTAAATAGGAAATGGGAGCGAACCCCACTGGAGGTGCAAACAGAGACACAGTGACCCCCAGGGGAGTGATGCGCCTCTGAAGGCTACTCCTGCAGCCCCTCTTTCTGCCATTATCCCTTTTGGGGAACTTATTTACAGCTTCCTAACATTAACATTGTTGCATGTTTTCCTCACTGAAGGAAGGGAGGTGGTGAATCATATTTATTTATGAGTTAATTCTCTCCCCTTTTCTTTACAGATATATAAGATACCCCCTCCTAAAAGAGAAACTCAGCCCACAATTTTTTGGCCTCATCTATCTTTATTGAGATATATAAATAAATGTAATCTGTGTACATTGTTTAGAAAAGTCATGTTGAACAGAAAGGTACAAAATAGAAAATAGAACTTCCTCTCTTCCCACTTGTTACTGTCCACTCACATCCTGTTAACAACTACATGCTGTCCTGTTGCTGGTTTCAGTGTGCCCTACCCTGTGCACACCGTTACATATTTTCTCTTCCCTCCTTCTCTGTAGCCCCTACTTGCATGGTTTTAAACTATGTATCCAGAGGGGATCATGTAATACCAGGGGCCTCTTTTCTGATGCTAAGGGATTTGGGAAGCAGGGGGGGGGGGCTCATGCTGGCTCTCTGGGGTCAGAGCTGTGTGATTTCAGCGGAGAGGAATGGGTGTAGGGTGCAAAGCCAGCGGAAGGGGGGATGGAGCAAGGGTTGGTCAGTCACTGCTAGGAAATAAGCCAGACTGTGGTGAGGTAATGCATGTGCTTCTTGCTGTAGTTTGTTAAAATTAGAAGACCCCTGGGACCCTAGAGGTTTGGCAGGGGGGAGGTGTGTGCTGCGCGGTGAGAGGTGGAGACTGCAGCACTGGAAGGAAGCCCTGCTTTTGTTTTTGTTTGACTTTCTATGTGGGTCTGAAAGTCTCACATACGAGAAATGAAGGTCCTTCTATTCTCCTTCAGGATAATCCCAGTTTCACATTTTTCCATACCTTGCTGCCTTTAGTTTTGGTCTCTGTCTTGAAGGAATGGCACAGCTGTGTTGTTACTAATATTCATTATTTATAGTTTTTGGGCTCTACCTTTTCTGGTCCTGAGGGATCTCTAAGGCATTTCCTAGGATGATCCTGGCAAGGGCAAAGCAATAGTGTTTCTGATTTAGAAGACTTAGGCCGTTACTGTAGCATTGTCTCCTTATCTATAAGTCATGCCCAACTCGTACAGTGTGTGTGATGATCAAAAGAGGAGAAAATGCTCCCTTAACTATGAAGTACCTAGCAAATGTTAATCTAGGAGAAATGGGAGAGGCTAAGACTTGTCTTCCAGAGCAAAACAACCTCTATGACTAAGATATCATTTTTTCCCCTTTAAAATCAGCTATATTTTATAACCTCCATAAAATAAATTGCATCTTTCCCAAATGGACAGTTCAGGGGACTCTGACCAATGCATCTGCCGTGTTACCACCTCAGTCAGGACAGAGAATGCTTCCATTCCCTAGAAACCTTTGCAGCACCTCTTTGACTCAGTGCCACTTTGGGCCCTGGGGGTTTGTCAGTATAGATGTGTGGCTTTTTCTAGAATCTCTGGGAGCCAGCTTTTCCCCTTCAGCATGATGCTCCCAAGATCCAGATGTCCGCTGCTGTTGGCTCCATTCCATTGCTGATGAGGATTATGTGTACAGATACCCTAGGATGTCCTTAGCAATTCAAAGTCAAAACTAACAATTCTTTCTCTGCTTTGATCTCAGAGGAGCCAGGGCATCCTGACTTCCCAAAAGGGCTCCTCCCTCCTGTATTCAGAACCCAGTGTGGCTGTTGTCTTCATTCAGTTGTCAGGTAGGAAAACTCAGTCTCTATAGCCTGGGGTCTTCTGGGCTCCAGCTAGTCCCTCCCTGCAGCTTTGATCTTAACACCACTGTTTAAAAAATTATCTTCTACTTTCCTCCTAGGCTGACTCCTTTCTGATCTGGGATAAGGTGAAATTACAAGAACCTGTGTTAAAGCCTTTTTAGCTATAAAGCTCAGGTTAAGATGAAACTTACAGCACCACGATGGTAACCCAGTAAACTGCTGGTAACCACGATGCAATTTATGCATCTGTAATTTATCTATAATTTATCAGATTAGTATCAGGTCTCCCAGCAAGGGCCTCTGTGGATGCAATGAAAATAATTTGTTGGTTGCACAGGGCTGGCCCACACTTGCAGGCAGCAATGTTTGGGAGACTGTGTGGGCAGTGGGAGGAAAGAACCAGCTCTCCCTGGAGCAGCGTTCCGGTGGTTCTACACATCTTTTGATCACAAGCCTGGCTGGGTGCTTCCTCTTCCATTTTGTCTGTCCTCTGCCTATCTCTCCTCTGATCCTAGTTTACTATCAGGCATGGGGCGGGGTAATAATAGTTACCATTTATTACTGCACCTACGCATGCTGTGGGGCACTTTATGTACATTATTCCACTCACTTCTCACACCAACCCTTTGAGGAAGGTATTATTAGTCTCTTTTATTGATGCAAAATCCAAGACACAAGTTGTATAAGTTATTTGTGCAAAGTTACTCAGTTGCAGACTCAGAATTTGAACCCAGTTCTATGTGGCTCCTGAACTTGTGGTCCTACCTAACCCCTTTCTCTGGGTTTTAAGAACTAAAGATAATGGGAAGCATTTCATTTTTGTCTTGAGTTCTCTTCCCCTATGCACTCCAGGTAGCATATGACTTAACATACTGTGAATTAGATTTGTTTGGTTATGACATGGAGTCATCTGAAATGTTTTCTTTGGTGTTTGAATTCTTTCATTGCCATTATGTGTGTGAGATTTGTTCACACTTTTGTGTTCCACTCTCAAAATGTATGATTCATTTTCATGTATCAGTTGAAGAACACCTTATCTTTAAAGGCCTCTTGATCTATGGTTAAATGTTCTCTATTTGAATTGATATACTGAGTGAGTTCTGTGGTTTATCTACCTCGTTTCCATGTCTATGAGGTAAGATTAATCCTCCCACAATGTACTTCCTCCTATGAGGTACTTCCATTTTCAAAAAAAGTTTTTACTAGGCCAAATGCTCATTAAGAGATTAAGTATATGCAGAGGTGTTTGATATGTATTATGTCATCCCTCCCAAAATTCTTCTCTTCCAAGTGATTCTGTAATGAGGAATATACCTGATATTGTTTAGGTAACTGAGTCTCCAGAAATAGGACTTTCTGTGATAGAGACAGTTTTCTTTGAAATGTAAGAAGCAGTGTTACCTGTTAAGTATTAGTATTCAAAAGCTGTGTGATCCTGGGCAAATCATAGCTGTTTTTGAGCCTCAGCTTTCTCATCTATAACATGGGGTGGTGTGATGATGATATGGTTTGAATATATCCCCCCAAATGTCATTCGTGGGAAATTTAATCCCCCACTTCCTGCATGTTCTGTTTGGAGGTGAAGCTTTAGGGAGGTGGGATTCGGTGAGGCTTTATAAGAAGAGAGACCCAATTTAATACCCATGCTCTGGCTCATCATAGGACACTGTCTGCTATGCTAGATGCAGCACAAAGGCTCTCACCAGTTGTGAAGTAGAAGTGGGTGCCATGTTCTTAGACCTTCTACCCTGTGTAGTCATGGGCTACATAGATCTCAGTTCTTTGTGCATCACTCAATCACAAGTATGTTGTTACAGCAGGCAAAGAACCAGTGGAGCCAGGAGGAAAAGATGTCTGTCAAAGACATCTACTTCACAGCATATGAGGCAGGTGTACACATGATAGAATATTTGAGCACCCCCCCCCCCCGGGATGACCATGTAATGCTAAGAGGCAGCATTTTCACTTCTGTGTCAACCTAAACAGGTTTATTTGCAAGGTAAGTCTGAGAAAACCAGCAGTAAAGTCTGCTAGAAGAAGAATGATGCTGATGAGCATGAGTTCCTGACTTAACCGATGTTTGGGGGAGCTCAAATCTCAAAAAGCAGCCAAAGAAGACTGACCAAGGAGCTAAGAGAAATCACTCTTGATCCATTTACATTGTGAAGCATTTAGAAAGGAAATACCACATTACTGTTTTTGGGATATATTGCATTTCTTCCTGAATTTACTTTTTGAATCTTGTATTTCTACATTATTAAAATTCTCCAAAGCATTTTGTTTGTGCTGAAGACAGAGAATGGAGAAGCTGTGATTTTTCACTGCATCCCAGAGCAAGCTTTGCAGAAGAGGACACTCAAGTCAAACAATGCAGAGAAACAGCCACAAGGAGGAAGATATAATTGGTTCTGGAGCTGATGGGAGAGAAACGGGGTCAGGAGAATGGGTTATGCGTTACATTCAAGTGTATTCAGATGTAAGGCTTTGCTTCCATGGCCCCTTACCTCTTCTCTCAACAGACCTATCATACTGAAATAAAATAAAACCAATTCACCATAATCATCCTTTTATTTCAGTTTATTTCTGGATCAGTGAAATGAAAATGTAAAGGGGCTGTGACTTAGGATTCCTCGTGATAGCATTAGTGTGTGTCTCATGACAAATCACTGTATTTCCACTGTGATTTGCTTGTCTGATGGCCTGAGATGACAGGACTGCTGACCTGAGGAATTAATGCACTTGCTGATGCCTGAGCAGGTAGGAGGGCAGGAAGGAGAGGAAGAAAACAAGTATGTCTTAGTGAACTGGGGCATGTCAGAAATTTAATCACAACAAGTCAAGACAAGTGTCAAGCACTGGAATCCCTGGAGAACACAGCCATAGCTTGGTTCCTTGTCAAAAGGTGGGCAGTTGGATCTCAGGGGAGGAAGAAAAAATGGCAAATGCATCATGGTTTAAAGTGGACTTTAGCTAGCATGGGAGAGGTGGCTGAAATAAATCATCAACTTTGTTTTCCAGATTAAATCAGTTTAGTTTATTCAAAAAATGTACAATCTCATTGCTAATCTGAGCTAGAATTTCTAGCAATTGACTTCCACAGAGGGCTAGGAAAAAATTGGTATAAACCGAATTAGTTTTAAAATGACAGGTAGGGGACCTCCTTATGGGATGTGAATTGAATTTCACATTTTGCTTGGAAGTAGTTATTTATCAAAGGATTCTAACAAGCAATTATAATTTCTCCTCACAGATCCTACTTAGAAAGTTCCTATTAAATTATGCACACAAATACACATTTATTTGTTAGCTGTACGCACAGATAGCAACCCACCTTTGATAAGAAATTAGTACACACAAATCCAAATCTGTGTGAGTTTAGAAGGAATCTAGGCTACAGGTTGTAAAATGTGAGAGCCACCTAGTGAGAGAACTGGTAACTGCATCTTTGAATTCCATGTATGTTTTGCAGGGATAATTTCTGTTTGTAACAACTTTGCATATCATGGGAATATTTGTCAACATGATGTGAAAGTGACAGTGATTATTGTATATTCCAATTATAAAGGTGGCTATATTTTTAGTTATAAAGTCACTTTCTTTTTGTTTTTGTGCTACTGAGGGTTGAACTCAGGGTTTTTACCTTGAACTACATTCCCACTCCTTTTTTGAGACAGGGTCTCCCTACATTGTCCAGGTTGGATTTAAGCTGGCAATATTCCTGCCTCAGCCTCTAGGACTGCTAGAATTGCAGGCATGTTCCACAACACAGGGTGAAAGTAGCTTTCTTTTTTCTTTCTTTCTTTCTTTTTCTTTTTGGTCTTTTTGAGAGGGTCTCACTATGCAGTTCAGGCTAGCCCTGAGCTCACTTTGTAGTCCAGGCTGATCTCAAACTCACAATGATCCTCCTGCCTCAGCCTCGGAGTGCTGGGATTACAGGCATGTGCCACCACACCCTGCCGAAAGTAGCTTTCTTGACTTCATCATTCCAGTAAAGATAACCTTCTGACTTTGCAATGATGTCTTACTATTGGAGTTTCTGCTTTAGACACATAAAAAGCATAAACCAAGTCTTCTAGGAGGTGCTGGCTAAAAGGGAAAGACAATCATTACTTGCCTGTGTCTGTTAGGGTGTGAGCTGGAAAGACATGCCTATGGCTAAGTCAGCCTTTTCATGCTATAGCTCCATATCCTCAGGACAAAATAGCAGTTACGAAAAAGTAGATGCAGTTTTCTTTCTTCCATTTTCCCGTTTCATGCTCTTTTTTTTCCTCCCTCTCCTCTGCCTCTTTCTCTCTCTGCGTCTCTCTTTCTCTGTCTCTGTCTTTGTTTTTCTCTTTTCTCTGTCTCTCTTTCTTTCCATTCCCTCTCCCTCTCTCATTCTTTCTTTTGTTTTAATGTTCTTGGGAATCCCTATATATCAGATTAAAATCAAGACCTAAATCCCATTGTACTGTGTATTCTATTTGCTTAAAATTTGTGTGTTTTAAGAGCAACTGGGGATTAATGGAAAGGACGGTAAGTAGCGTTGGATTCAGGTTCGGCAGAGTCCTGGCTCTCCCTGTCTCCCAGGTGTAAGATGTTCCACGCTTCTCAGCCTCTCTGAGACTGAAAGTTTTCAGATGATTCATTTATTTTTTATGGTCTCATAACCTTGGTGGTGGGGAGATGCTTCTGAATAGAAGGCACCTTTGGTAGAAACAGATATAAAGAGCTATGAGTATACAGGAAAAACTTCACTGAGACCCTTTTAAAAGCTGGGTGCCATTCTGAGCACTGGGGAATCCACTGGTCATTGGCAAAAGGACTGTCTCACAAACTCTGAGCTAATGTTCTGGTGGAAGGAGTCAGAGAGTACCTATCTATAACAAAAACCTATTTTACAGATGTTGATAAATACCATACTGGAAGAAATATTAGAGCAGGTAAGGGTAAGGGAAATTGGAAAGACACGAGAAGGTGTTTATTATGTAGGCATAGTGAGTTTTGAGTAGACAACAGAAGTGGGGAACGAATGAGCTATGGGAAGGGAAGGCAATTTGGGAGAAGAAAACCATCCTTATGTCCAGGGCAGGCCTGCAGATGGCCTCTGTAGAAGATGGCTGAGGCCAGCGTTTCAGGTCCGCACGTACAAGGGGAAGGTGGTGGATATTGGGTGAGGAACAGCACGCCCAGAGCCTTCTAGACCTTCTAAAAATTGGCTTTGAGTGAGCTAGGGACCATTAGAGGGGGTCCAGTCGAAGGAGATGCCCATTCTGACTCATTCTTGATGAGTTCACCCCAGCTGTTGTGTGGAGGGTGAACAGAATGGAGTCTGGGGTGGAGACTGGTGAAGAAGTGGGGACAGTTTAGATGGCTGCCATCCTGGGCAAAACAAGAGAGGAGACGTGGAGCAGAGTGTCAGTGGGATGTGCTGGGCTGATGAGAGTCAGCAGAGGTGGTTTCAGGTCCAGGCAGGCAACAGCTTGATAACCACACAGTGGGAAATGGCGCTGTGCCCAGGTACAGCTGCGCTGCAGCGTGGTGTGACAGGCTGGGGTGAGGTGAGCAGGAAAACCGGAAGGGGCGCTCCGGAAGGCCGGATGGGGTTGGCCGGGGACGCCTCGGAGCATTCTTTTTTCATAACCTCACATGAGTGTTCTGCACTCCCAAGACCAGACTTAAGAAGAGGCAGCAGGAAGCGGCGATTAGGTTCAGAGAGACAGTAGCCCAGCAAGAAAACAACAGGGGCTCAAACCTAGGCCATCCACTGAGAGGATGAGGATGAGTTGCCCAGGCAACAGGGTGGGGTGAGGAACATTAACCAACTCCCTGTGAGGTAGAAAGAAAAACTATGCAGAAAGGAGACCAGGAAATCAACATTTTAAAATTGCATTTTTAAGAAAAACTGCATCTGCCAGTTATGCATGCCTTTCCCTTTCCAGGAAACTCACTCAAAAAACTACAATTTCTGAAGGTCTTTCTTTCTTTCTTTCTTTCTGTCTGTCTGTCTGTCTGTCTGTCTGTCTGTCTTTCTTTCTTCCTTTCTCTTTCTTTCTTTCCACTAAGCCTGTAAATCTGAGCTCTTAATCTGCCCTTTTCACCGGCAAGTTGAACCCCTAAGTCTTCAGTCTTGAAGAAGCAGCAATATTGGGGGGCAGGCAGGAGAGTTTAACCTCAAACACCTGTGAATGTCTCTCACAGGTGGTGAAAACACATTACCTGCATCACCCATCTAGAAGACAGCCCTTAAATACATCTACCTCCTGCTCACCATGCGTCTCACTTCTCCATTCTTGAGTCCGCGCTAATAAACCTTTGTCTTGCCTCTTACAGTGTTGTGTCCTGAAAATTCTTTTTGTGAGACAGGAGTCATTGAACCTGCAAACTTATTTGAAAAAAAGTAGGATAGCTTCCTTATTTCAGCCTTGAGGATCTCTCAGACTCAGCCTCCTACTGATCATATTGATAGAATTCTCATCCTGATTTTTGATAATTCTTTTGTTTTTTGGTACCGGGGATTGAACTCACAACCTCGTGGCTTGCCACGTAGGTGCTTATGCTGCTGAGCTAAACCCCTGGCCTCACGCTGATTTTTAAAATACACTGATTTGAAAATGTGACCATAGGGTAGTAGAATCAATTTCTTCCACACTGGGAAAATGAATTTTATTTATTTACTTTTGATACAGAGTCTCACTGTGCAGGACAGGCTAGCTTTGAACTCACTGTGTAACCCACGCTGGCCTTGAACTCTGGTGATCCTCCTGCCTCTGCCTCCCACGTGCTGGGATTACAGGCATGTACCACCTCTGCTGGCTGGGAAAATGCTTTAAAAACCGTAGTGCTGAGCTGGAATTTTGCTTGACCAAGTAGGGTGTCTATGCAGAGAAGACTTTGAGAAGGGGAGTTGGTAGAGGAGAAGGAAAGGTAGGAATCCAGAAAGAACTGGAAGAAGGCCTTGGAGAGAAGACAGTGGAATAGGTTCCGACTTGTCAAATGCCTCGGGAGAAGAACCAGGTAAGAACAGCCAGCATAGTTAGGGAGACTGAGAGGGTGACTGGCAGGGAGGTTTTGGATGGGATGTGAGTTCTTTTTTTCTCTCCCCACAGTGCCTTCTGTGAAAATGAATCATTGTGTGGTGCAGTGGCTTTAGAGTCTTGGTTTTCATGGAAGGCACCACGCCAGGAACAGGTATCTGCATCTAGGCCAATGCTTTTGTTTTCTTCTGCTGCTTGCCACCCGGAAGGGGAAAGAAACAGGGCAGTTCCAGCTGAGCCCTGCAATTTCCCACCCTTTCCTCGTTTAGTATGTTCGACGCCAGCTGTCTGCTCTTCTCATCTGCTTGTACTCCTCTTCTTCTGTGCTGTGGAGAGGGCTTTAGTCTGAATCCTCCAGCAGCTTGGCTGGATAGAAGGGAAAGGTCACTGTCCATCTGCTCCTTGCTTTTCTCACTGTCTCCATCAGGGCCCGCCTCTCCCACAGCCTCCTGGTGAGGCTGGCCTTCTGCTAAAAGTTTTTATTTGTCCAGAAGGGGCTCTGAAATTTGTTCAGGTCTTTATCCATCTTCTAC